TTAAATAGAGTATACCTTGATGATGCAGTGCCATACACAACCGCATCATCACTCAGCAAACAGTACTGCAATGAACACTCCCGATATTCACAAATCACACTCATTTAACTAGAGATTCTCATGAATCACAGCTGGATCTATCGTTCATGATGTTTTTCAGCTGAATCAGTTGCCTAGAGTTATCCTCATGTTTCAGTAGGTAGGGGATTCGAGTATGCTTTTCTGGAAGAAATTACTCAAAAGTTTGCTAAAACTCTTCTGACGGCTCACGACCGGTTTCGCCCTTCTTGGGGCTCATCAAGTAGGAAGACTTCCAGTGCTTTCGTAAAACTTACGTTCCACTTGAACCCAGATGGTGGGACACGTGGTAAATACGCTTTAAAATTTAGCGACCCCTGCATCCCAGCCGAGTTCCTCATTTATGATATTGTTCAACCAAGCGTGCTATACACGGTTTGCTTCATGTTTCAGTCGGTGCGATATTTCAGATATCTCTGTAAATTGTCTGGACGAAAACTCGGAGACTGCTCCTACCTTATGTGCTCCAAGAAGGCTGGAAACGACTGTACATTGTCGAGGTGAGTGAATTTCTATCCGGAACTAAGTGTCATATCAGTTGAAACGTGAGACAGTTGTTCTGTAACATGTTTAGTTGGAGCTAGTTATTACCGGGAGACTCAGTTGAGTCTATCGTTAAAACTCAAGGGGTCGAGATGGCTCAGGTGGTTAGAGCGCGAACTTATTGACCGGAAGGTCCGTGGTTCGAACCAGACCTGTGCATCTCGACTTTCTCTGTCTAGGCTTGGGCAACCTGACAGTATCCCAGCCCTCGTGCTCCCTTCGGTTGGTATGGTAGCTAGGCACCGGAAGGGTGTTACAGCTGAACGATTTATTTATTGATTATTTAAAACTTAAGTAATTTCCAAATAAATGTACTTCTTTGTGAGACTACGAAAAAATGTCGGTCTAATATTGAATTGAAACAGAAGAGAATGAAACGGTGAACCGTTACGAACGGGGTTTTGATACACATGGTATTGTTTAATAGCGCTTTATCGGTGTAGATGAAGTTAAGAAGTTAAGCTTCATCGAGGACCTCTATAGGACAAAAAAACTTGGAAGACAGTTCTTCTGAGGTCCTTCAAACTTTACTAGTGAGTGTAGAGTTCAAACATATTATTTTCCCACACTGATCAAGGTGGAGATAACAATGGCGCTCAGCATGAGTCAAATGCACACACATATACATATCCGGCCACCGAACGATTGGAGTTTCCACTCAAACGAGAACAACTCTCCTTCCTCCTTTTCAGAGGATGGCCTTTCGACACACCCACCTAAAATAGTTTCTATTACTGCAGACTACTTTCAACGATACTGCCGAATTCGATCAAGAAACGTTTTGGTTTCGAACATAGGCATTAACATTGTTCGATAAAGTGGGACACGGCGTGAAGTAGCTGCGCCACGTAGCATGAAGCATCATGCAATTTGTCGACACTGATTTAATCGGAGTTCCACTAAACGATGGGATAGTTCGCGAAACACTCTTTTCACATCTGCGCATTCAAAATGAAGTGTACACTGGATCGTATTTTAATATCACCTAAATAGTCATCAGGTCTGTCACTACAAACAGGGAGTGGGGAGGTTGCTGAAAATCCATCGACAGCCCACGACCGGTTTCGCCCTTCTTGGGGCTCATCAGGTAGGCGCAGTCTCCGGGTTTCCGTCAACCTTATGTTCTACTTGAAACCAAATTGGGGTTCATTAATTAGTGTACTAGTACCATGGCTGCCATACTTGCGCGTTTTTAGACTAATAATATTTGTATCTCAGAACGCGTTCAATGGTTTATTGATCAACGATCAACCGTTGTCAGACATAGGGAACTGTGGTATACCGCTAACATTAGCACGAAAATCAACCGAATTGATCAGTCGCAGTTAATCAGTACTCACAATTAGAGAAATAGAGATAACGAAGTGTTTAAGACCCATTTTCTTTCGTGGAGCTGCTGGGATTATCGATGATAAGAACACGGAATTCATATCAAATTGGCCTAATAAGATTCAAAAAGAACTTTTGAATGAGTCCTTTTTAACCAGAATCAACAGAAAGATAGCGTGAAATTTCAGGTGAATCAATACGGGATATTGTTCACTAGAAGTACCGCGGTGAAGATGAGTTGAATCTACCGAAAGATCACAGCTTATTTTGCTGTGGGCTTAGCAAAGAAAGATTGACCGGTCTTCTCATATTACTTATAAGTAACTTTTTATCTTAAGTTCAAGAATAACTTGGCTTCATCTAGTGCACAAGCAGAGATTTCAGTTCGATTATCCAAGAAACTTTGGGCTTTCAAGGGAAAACCAAACAGAAAAACTATTTACTGTTTGGAACTTCTAGCGATATTCTGGCTTCCTCCAACTCCCCATTCTGCCTTTTTGTTTGATTAAAAAAACTGAGAGAACTTGAAAGAGAACTGTTTGGTTTGTGCGTGTTTAGATAATTATATATTGAGCAGAATGAAAGATGGAAGGTACCGTCAAATTAGTGTCTCCTGAGCGTCACACCAATTTTGACTGGGTAGGTAGACTTTAAGTTTTCTTGCGTCACAAGAGTAGGGAAAAGTGTGGGCGTTTGTCTGCCTTGTTATATCATTAACGGATATCTCGACTAATTCATGAGGAAATTTGATGCTGACAATGAAGACAGCATGAAGTATGCCTCAACATGACCACCTTGACGTAGATATTCGAGGAGAGTCACCCCACGACATCACACGAGCGGCTAACTCAGCATGATACTGGAAGAAATAAAACAATTGAACTAACATTCTCAGCCTTCTTGAAATATCCGAGTGTTTGGGTTTCCAGAAAGAACAAATCCATCTTCAGCATCTTCAAGGGGGGATTTTTCCAGAATAAACAAAACGACATTACTCCCTCATCGGAGTACGACCAACTAAATTGACGAAACTATTATACATCCCACTAACGTCTCACTGATAAGCCTCAAAGATGACGGTCGCAGATTTGTCACCGACCTTACAAGTAGTGACGTCCAAACTGAGCTTTCAGGCAAACTGTTTTGCATGATACTCAACTGAAGGACACCATAATCGAAGGCTTCGTCTAAGCCACACAAACGAAAATTGACTGACACATCATAGGTGTGCATCAATCTTATTCGAGTCCGGAAGATTATGCAATGGCCTGATCAATAGAAGTTGACTACTGCATCTGCAACTTCTTTTCCTCTTCGAAGATGTCGTCTATATATGCCATATCGAAAATACTTCGTCACAGGCTAATTGAACACCGGAGTTTTGAAGACCTTCCAGCATTCGTCTCATGGTTTTGTCGATCACAAAGTTAAACAGGAATGGGGAGAGTGGGCATCCCTGGCGGACACCACTTTGTGTACTGGAGCTACTGGAGAGCTCACCGTATACTTTCACACGCCCGGAAGTCTGGGAATACAAAGAGCTTATAATGCACACAAAATTCCGGGGCATTCCTTCATGGGCAAGCGTGTCAAGGAGAACAAACCGGTCGAACAAACCAAGTCGAATGTGCCTTGGAAATTCAGGACCACTAGAATTGTGAGTCGCTTGTACGTATGACGTTGTTCTAGCACCTGACGGAGTGGTCAGGTTGGTCAACGCAACCCCTACCAGGCCGGAACCCCACTTGCTGCTCTCGAGTCAGTGTTTCACGAGCCACCATAAGGTGGCGAAGCAGGAGTGACGCCAACAGTCTCGGTACCACTGAAGTCAAGCTGACACCTCACTACGAGCCACTTTTTTTAAATAGGCTCTATTACCTACTCCCCCCATTTGTCTGGTACAGTCTCCCTTGCCGAACTAGAGGCAAACAGATCAGATAAGCACTGACTGAGGACTTCATCCCCGTCGTTGAACAATGCGGGTGGGAGGTCATGCGGACCAGGAGTTCCCTGGCGCTTGAGAGAACATATGCAGTTATAAATATCCGAGGCCTAATGGGGTTCCACGTTCACCGTCCGGAGTTCTACTTCAGCTGTAGAATCCAAATTAGTGGCAGCAGGTGGACAAGGTAACTGTTGATCGAAATATTCAGCCCAACGGTCCAGGCATTTTTCTTTATTCACTCCCTTCTGATCCTTGATGGTTTCGCTCGTAGATAGTTTCCGGGGACCTTTCGTGCGGACCAACTGAAATTATCTTCGTGTATTACCGGCTTTCTGGACCTCTTTTTCTTGACTCTCCATGCCAGTCAGACTTCACGGTCGGCTCACATGCTCGCTTTCACTTGACTTCATAGTTCGTCGCGTCAAGTTATGTTCAGGAGAGGCTGATATTTGATTTATGCAGCGCCACTGTTCGGTCCGATATCCAGTGCTTGAGTGTGTCTGGTAGCGCCGTGCTACAAGCGAAATTCCCAGCACTGTGCAGATATGTAATGATCTCGTGTTAGTACGAATTTATGTCTAATGTTGGAGCATTTGGAAGAAAGTCTAGAAGATGATTCTAGAAAGTTCGTCTAACACCCGGATCTGCCAGTCTCTCAGTTGCTAGGCCATTTGTCGGCAAAATACGCCGCCCTGGAAAGCAAATGGAAAAGTGACTCCGGACGAGCTAGTGGTCGGAATCCGCAAATGCAGTCAGTTATTGATTCTCGATATCGGTAAATGACGAAAATGTGATCAATTTGAGGTCGTATTCGACACGCTTATGGAGGACATCACGTGGCCAGATGACTTCGGCTATTTTGGAAGCTGGTATTGCATAAAAACAGACTGCGGTCAGCAAACCGCTGAAGTAATCGTTCACCATTGTCAGTACGTACCGATTTCAGTGCATGCGGACCACCTAATTAAGTCTCAGATGCGCTAAGCCTGCCCACTTGTGCATTCAGATCTTCAGGAACCACAACGATGTCTGAGCTTTTAGCTCGCCGCAGCAGGGCGTTCAGGACGTCATAAAACTTGTCTTTGATGGTGTCGATCAACTTCAGGCTTGTGGGACTTGTTCATAGACGTTGCCCGACGAATCACACAGAGGCGACTATCACCGGGTACTCAGCCAAGCACGGACCCTTCCGCCCGGTGACTTACGGCGATACCGCCCGCAGCAGCCTCTGGATCGCCGGAGGTGCGCAGCCGGAAGTGAGTGGATACTGATGGGGCAGTTAGCTCGTCCAGTGTACTTACCAAGCGAGTCCAGTGTGAAAGCATGAGCAGCTTGTTACCTTTCTTGCTTCTTTGAAAGCAACCAGATAGACTGGCCATCGATGCATGAAGATTGATTTCGAGATGCCTGAGGAAGTCAGCCCCGGATGATGCTCAGATGTTCGCAAAACCGATGTGGGATAAATGGATTCATCAGTCCTAACCACTGGGTCTGCAAGGAAAGGGTTATTAATGGGATGGGGAGGGAAGGGGAGAAAAGTATGTGAAATAGAAAGAAGACAGGCGTCAGCAGTAGCCTGTTCTAGCTTACCCATCCTGCTGTATACAGCAAGTATGACGACCCGACTGATGGCACCACGCGACGGCCGATGTGACATGAGAGCATTGTTAGTTTAAAGTGTCATAGTTGAACGAGGGCTGCAATCCTGCCAGGGGGGCATAGGCATAGCCAAGTGGACGATTAGGGTCCCCATCCAAAGCCTTTAGCTCAAAATTCTGACACGAGGCAGTGGTGTCTGCAAATGCAATTCAATTTTTGCAGAGCACATTTCAAATCCCAACCTTGAGGGTTAGGATACTGCGTTCGTCAAACCTCTAATCACTGACCAACCTGGTATAAGAGACTCTGCGAGTGTTGCACAGACATCCCTCCAGTATAGACCAATGGTTCGCTGATATCCAGAAGACGCCACAGCACGGTAAGATCCAGTCTCTTCGTGAAGGCAATAGTAGAAAGTAGTAGGTGATCCCAATTATTCATGTTTCAATCCGAGCATGGTTTCCGTATTTTTGCGACGTTGACTGCATCAAGACTGATATATCCCAAAAGTCGAAGAATTTACCAACTCATCAGCGACATTTCAGGATATTTGGACCTCTAGTTAAGTAAACACGTCAAAAGATGCGGTCTTACATGCGATATCATCTTTCCACGGAATCCTGTTAATGGACATGATTTGTCTTGACACGGCCATGAAAATCCATGTGGCCATCAGTGTATCGAGATTGTGGGGGATCTTTATCGTGTTTGGATTTCAACCACATCACATGACATCCTTAAATTTTTGATTTCGATTCCCAGTTTACAACCCAGAAGCATCTTCGTCACAAACTATCTGTTCTCCCACTGGTGTTCTATCTATGTCATCTGGAAAAACTGAGGCTGAATATTCCGAAAAAATTCATTTGTTTGCAGTTATCTTTAGTGCTTAGGGCAGTTCTTACATTTTGGTCCTCATCCATTTGTGACCAATAGTAATGGTCTCAAGCGTCTAAGTTTTTCAGGACCTCAAAAACCTAAGTGATTGAAACAATAAACTATTCAGCACCATGCCCCTAACAAGCCAACCAACCAACCAACCACTCCCTTTTCATTAGCAGCATGGCTCTCATGGGAATATGTCCGTTGTATCTCTTCAGTTTTAACTAGAACGGACAAGCTCAACACAGAAGTGTTCATACCCCGCACACACGCACTCCCACACACACACACACATAGCCTGTTTTGCTCATTCTAGTTCAACATCCCAATCGGCTTTTACTATCCCCGAAATTCTGACTGAGTGCCGTTCGAAATATGGATCCAACTTTGGCCAAGTGACCCAGGCGCCTAAAGTTTGCCCCTTAAAACCTAATAAATACCTAATGGGTTTCTGAAAGGATTGGTAGTCGACAAGAGTGTGTGGTGGTGTTATCTTTGTGTGGTTGGCCTCGATTAGCTTGCGATAGACAAACTAAGTGTACAGTGTTTGTGTGATGGGGTGCGGGGGCATTGGGAGGAGGGGGTGGATTCATAAACAGAACGGCGGAATGGCTAAGTAGGCCTTAGGGCAGTCCAAATGAAGCGAAGAAAGTGGACACTTTGGAAGATGAATTTTCGGAACACAAGGTGGATGGGGAAACGAAAAATTCCTGGTTGAAGAAGCACAGCCTCACCCTGCGTGCGCTTGTAAACAGGGTACTGTCAGAACAACGCAATACTGCGCCTAATTGAGACAGCCAATCACAAAGTGATTAACAGAAACATGTTCTTATGGAATGTCAGTTATGGCCGAACGCTTGATTGAACTAACCGCGTCTGAGGTGCTCTTGGGTTAGATCCTTTTCGGGTAGATTTCTGAGTGTCACGAATAGGCCAGACGAAACGATGAAGATCTGTCATCAAGTGCGTGCCGTTCATTTAGTACTGGTACGCTCAAAAGTGAAAACTGTGAACCTCTTTCTTGGAGCGGTCCATCGCTTAAATTAACCCAATCGTTGAATTTAACTCACTCTTAGTTTTTGCCCACTATTCCAGTAACCAAAGCTACGAAGTGAAACCACATAATATCTCGATGCTTCTGCCCTGTTAATGACCGATTTCGAGCATCCTTAAAGTAAATTTTCCTCAGGGCACAAAACAGGTTGCCAAAAGCGGGTTATTCCGGTGTCATTTTGAAACCCGGTGCCCAATGAAAGTAGTTGCCCTTTACGATGCTTTGTACTTTTTTGAGGCAGACAATCCACTTTCAAATGTTCGGTCACCCTACGATGAGATATCAACAATGCGTGGTTGGTGGCGTCTTCTGATGATATTTTTATCGAAATGTGACGAAACGGTTGTAGTCTACAGCCAGTCTCGGTGAACAGATGAACAGCCAACAGGAGCTCAGGATTACCATTATTCTCTCAGACTGCTGGGTTAAATACATAATTAGAATACTTGGATGACTTTCTGGTGCCTCGATAACGTATTAGTGTCTACAAAACATATTATACTCACTGTCCATGTTTGACTCTGTGAAAGAGAAGCATTCAGGTGTGTTACATCTACCGAAAGCCTTATATCTGCCGTGAGGTGTGTAGCGGACTAGGACCTTATCGACGTGTTCGGACAAATTAACAAGCAAAGCAACCAATACAAAATCACAATAAGAAAAGAATGAGTAGTCAAATGAGGACCCACGATTGCTTCGATCCAATAATCCACTACACCGATTTGAATGCAGTAACCGGCTGTGAAAGAAATATTCACTCGTAGAAATTTCCCACGAAGGATTCACGTGTGAGTGATCTGTTCCACGAGAAGAAAGTTATTCACAGCTGAAAAATGTCACAGGGATTTATTGTGACGTTCAACAGTTGACGCAGACACGGAGATCTAGTCCCACTGGTTCAGCAGTCAGCAAACAGTCCAACGGAGAGTAAATACACTCGTTCAGCAAGAAGTCAGCAAGTCGCACCGGAAAATTGTGTATTCGTAACATTAAAACAAATGTTATGATAAAATATGTACGACAGTTATAAAGTGTAGTTTAAGTTCAGGAAAATGGTAAATATGACAACGGATTACAGACACTACTGGTGTTACCAGAGTTGATCGCAGCTGGTCGTAGTAAGACGTAGCTGTCTTGTATGTATACTGTACTGGAGCGGTGCGGTGCGGTTTAAACGTGCAAGATCCTAAAGGTAAAATTCGAACAAACAAAGATAACCAGTCATACAATTTCACATGCATGCATGTAAATGTTTGGAGGGAATAACTTGACAAGGTAGTCGCTCTAGCTTCAGTGACGACATAAGTAATGGTGGGTTAGCACCGGGTGGACAGTTGGGGAGCAAGAGGCGAGCTAGTGTGCGAGTTCCTACTGAAACTGAAAACAAAAAATCAAAGTAGATCTCAGTGATTTGCTAGTATCACCCTTCTTCGGACCCACCAGGTTGCCCCAGGCCTTCACCCGATGAGTTTAAAAGAAGGACAAAACCGATTGCGTGTTGTCGAAGAGTTTTCACTAACTTCAAACACTGTATGTTACGCCAAGAAACGAGTCGGTGCGGTTCCGCTTAATTAAGATATGAACTAAGATAAATGAGGTTGTCCTCTACCCTTTGATATGGAGACTTCATGAACAAAAGTGGCTAGTTTCGAAAGCTGAATCTAGAGGAAGACGAGCTATTGAAAAAAGCCACCTGGCTTTTGGAACCAGTTATTCGGTTCGGTCACTTCTATAGGATGAAATACCTTCCAGTTATCTGAATTGGATATCGTATTCTGCTTTCTTCTAAGCAAAAGGATGACCTTGAGGGGTGGAAGTATTTTGAAAACGGTAGTCATTGGTAGTCATTTTTTCCGGTATGCCTCCGAACAAACCCTGTCACCCAGGATACTTGGAAGCACAGGGATACTAGGTGAATCCACGGAACTGGGGAAAGTGCTCTTCATCGTTAGCAGGTGAATAAAACGAGTAATCGAATAACATCTACTACCTTAAATGCTCACTGAGGAAGACTAAATCACACTCATGTCAAACAAAACGATCTGGCTGGGGTTCCTCAACGAGTACGCGTTCTACAGTCTTCCCAGGTGGGAACGCCAAAAGGGGTGACCAGACGAAAAGTAGCATGCACCCTGCTCACTCTGACCGCTCAGTATTGATTTCAACCACCGAAACTAATCGATTCGGTGGGAATGTGATGATAGAAGAATAATTAGAGCTGTATGTTTTTCAAGTACGCCTGTGGTTGGCGTAGCAGCAGAGTTGTGACACATGTACCCTGCTTCTGAAATGCACAGGCATGCTAGTCTAAACAGTAGTGTGTGACTGGATCAACCATCGCGACCTTGTTCTTCTATCCTCAAACCACTTGCCAATCTGTCAGACACGGTCGATGCCTCGAAGATAGCTAGGGTTAAATACCGAACATTTTCGCACGTCCGCACAAAGCGGCCACGTCTCTGGTCCATACAGTGGTACGGATCGCACCACCACAGTGGAAATTCGCCCCCGGACGAATTCAGACCGGTGTCGTAGGTGAACAAGGTTGGTGGAACCTAGACTTCCCGATTCCGAAAATCCTCTCGTCTTCAGTCAGTTTTTCAAGATTTATACAACCACCTAGGTAAATTAATGTGTTTATCACGTCGAATGATTGCTTTTTAAGCCTGAGGTTTTGGCTAGGTCCCATCCAGTATCTTACTGACGGTTTACTCCCTTCTG